AGCTGGCCATCATTCTATCTGTATACAATATAAGCTTGCTTTAATCTGATTTAAAATTGGAGTTGGTGGTCTTTTGTTTGCATTGTGCTTCAACACATAGCACTGATTTTTGACCTTCCTTTCCAAATAAACACCATGAGAGACACAGCAAAAGGCTGGTAACAGAGATAGCAGTGGCAATCACCCTATTTTTAGCTTGTTTGCTACCTTAAATATTTGGACTCAGGTATGTAAGGAACTCTTTTTTAAATTTTTTTAAACTCTATTCTGTTCTTTTATATATATATATATATATATATATATATATATATATATATATATATATATTTTTTTTTTTTTTCAGTTTTCAGCGGATACAACTCTTTGTATGTGGTGTTGAGGATCGAACCTGGGCTGCACGCATGCCAGGCGAGCGTGCTACCACTTGAGCCACATCCCCAGCCCCATGTAAGGAACTCTTATCAATGACCACACAAGGCCCCAGGAGAGGGAGCATGGTCCAGGATGGCCACCAAGGCCTTGGGGAAGGAGGAACATGAGTGTGGGGAACTGAGGGCTCTGAGCTCAGGCAGTGCAGGGAAGAAGTGGACAGAGAAGAGCAGATCCAGGCACGACTGGGTGGTGCTGGCCCAGGAAGTTCATCAGATCCAGGAGTAAATGGGCATCCATGCAAGTGCCTCCTGCTCCACAGGCATTAATAGACCCCAGGACCAGCAGTGTCCAGGCCTCCTGGGTACAATGATCACAGCAGAGCACAGCAAGAACACCCAGAAGTTTAGAGCAAAATGTAGGACCCCCCTGCAGGACAGGGCAAGCACTGGATAGCAGGACTCCTGGGAATTTATTGGCTATAGGATGGAGAGTACTATTGCCCTTGTGAGTGCTGACCACCTCCGGGGTGCTGTACCCACTGTGGACTTTGTGTGGGCCATGACCACTGGGTAAGAAGGTTGCAGCTCTAAAGTGTCTGGAAACCTTGAATCCAGTGCTCCTGAATTCGCACCAGAGACCCTGCTGAMTCATGTCCAAACAAGAATTCCTGGCTATGACCTGGGGTCTTTTGCCAGTGGAGGCCCCATTA